GTCTTTGCTCCAACTTGAGGGGGAGTGTTGGCGAGATATATCCTATTCTATTAGGGTTTATTTATTTTTTCCTTTTGTATAAATATTATGTGATTAGGATTCCACTTATTTCCTAATTAAACCCTACTAGGGTTTGTAACCTTGTATTATAAATACCTCATTTCGGAGAATGAAATACATCTGAAAATATTCTACCATATTATTTGACTAAATATAGGGAAGAACTATATTTAGAAGAAAAAAAGAAACTTTTAGGCATAATGCATCAATTTTTTTCATATGTAAAATTTTGAAGCTAATTTATCTAGCAAAAACTTCATGTATGAAATAAATAGAACAATTGAGAAGGGGAATAAATTACATCATAAGTTTAATATTGTTCTAACAAATTCTACGGATCAAAACCAAGCAGCAAAGGAGCAACCCGCAACAAAGGCTCCAATGTATTAGGCATAAATTTTCTAGCAAACAAGAAACATATTGAAGTTGTATTGCCATTGTATTCACATTCTGATACAAACCGAATCCGATTCAAAAACTCATCTGTGATATCACTCCATCCAAATTTTCCAGGATGAGGACCACCCCTTGACCAATCCACCCAAGTAATGCTCCTATTTGAATTCAACTCAGTGTACAACAAGTTCACCAGTGTTGGAATATAATGCTCATCAATATAACAGGGAGGGTGACAGTATTCTTGAAAGATAGGATAATATTTGCAGTCAGACACAATGTGGATGGCAAGCTCACGGTGCACTTCAAACCATTGAGACCCTTTTCGCCAATTTGTGATGTTTATTATTGGAAACATTTGAGGGTTATATCGGCCACGACCTGGCTTCCTTGGGTCGTCAAATGAGCTTAGGAAGCTTAGATTTGAGTTGATGAGGTAGTCATAAGTTGTTGTGAAGTTGAACAATGGAATGCACGATTCAGACAGCAACACAAATCTTTGATTGGAGAAGTCAAGGAGTGCATTAGCTAGGAGGCGTCTCTCGGCATCTAACATTGTTGATGTTCCCCAATAGACTGGCTGCACGCAAATGAAGTATTGATATCAAATAATTGTTATTAGTAATTTGATTGCAATCTAATGTAGCGAAAATAACTTTATGTTGTGGCTTTATACAGGTCATCAGTCGGGAATGAAGTTAAATCCAAGGTTGGATTCGTGACAAAATAAGTTAGATTGTGAGTTTGGTGGTCCATGTGGACATAATGATAATGAGGTGGTTAAAAGGAGCTATTACAGTTATTGGTGCCCATTTAGCTATTAGACACTAATAGTGACTTTCGCCACCTAATCACGTACAATAGTAGTGTCTAATATTAGTGTTTTTTTTTTCTTTCTAGTCGACACTTATGTCTTTTAATAGAAAATGAGTATAAATCGAAAATATATGGGCTAGTCTAATATAGGCCCCCATAATTTCTGTTTTCTAGACATCAACCCATTAATTTACTATAAAATCCTTACCCTTCAAAATCAGTAATTAAAACCCTTCTGATTTTTTCTTCCAAAATAAAAAAACCCTTAAAATTTTTGTTGTGACCTGTAATTGTTAAAACCATTTTAATTAATACAGCTAACTTTGACATTTCAACTCTGTTCGTGAAGTTGGACACAGGATCAATTTGAGATCAAAGATTAGTAGTGGTTCCACCCTAATGCATTTCTCAAGCATGGCAGCAAACACATAATAAACACATAGTAATGTAACTAATGTACAGAAACTTCAATTTAGCAATTATTAGAGGAACTAGTTACCTGGCTATGAATTCTTCTACCATGGAAGACAGAATCTTCAGGCACTGATTCATTAAAATCAGGGTGTGCGTG